CCCCGGCAACCGCCGCCGCCTGCTCAGCGTCACGTGGGTAGGCGCAGCCAATCACGGGCGCGGCGGGCGCGGCGCACACTGGGAGGAAAGGCGGGAGCTTTGGGAATGCCGGAGGCGGCTTTCCTGGGGCGGAAGTTAAGCGAAGTTGCCGCTGGGGGTCGTGGGCTGCGTGTCGGTGTCTCGGGTCAGACCCTCCACCATGGCCGTTCGTTCATCTCCCGCAGGGGGCCCGGGCTCTGTTCCCAGCTCTGGGGATGAGCCCGAACAGGCTCAGGCTCTACCCTCAGGAGCTGGTTGTGTCACTGGGAAAACGGAACCCGCAAGAGAAGATCCGCTGTTCAGTGTTCGCAGAAAAAGATGGGATTCGTGATTTTCATTTTACTGGAGTGACCCGGGACCGCCTTAGGACATGTCTCCCGAGATCTGCTTAAAGCTCCAGGCACGAGGGGTCCACTCCACTTCAGCAGGTTCCAGGGATTTTTGGAGAAACCTTCCCCACCCTCCCTACACACACACACACGAAATTTGTTTTTTAGAAATAAAACTGGAGCCCTGGCCGGGTGGCTCAGTTGGTTGGAGTATTGTCCTGTACACCAGAAGGTTGCAGGTTCGATGGTCGTGTAATAGACGCAACCAATCCATGTTTCTTTCTGACAGCGGTGTTTCTCCCCCTCCCCCTCTAAAATCAATAAACATATCCTCTGATATATATATATATATACACACACACACACACGTGTGTGTGTGTGTGTGTGTGTGTGTGTGTGTGTATAACTGGAATGCAAATCCTCCTTGTAATGGTGCTATTGAATTGAAGTTGCCCAACCCTGGCTGGAGGCTGGGAGGTGGCTAAAGATGGAGAAATCGTTCTCTTCCAGACATTGAGCTGTGTGGCGGGAGCCTCTGTCTTCCCATCTCCATGCATCCAAGAGGGTGAGGCGGGAAGAGGGCATGTGAAGGCAGGGAGCCTGCCTTTGGAGAAGCCCTGAGATAGTCTGTGGCCACCATCTGCCCAGCCCCCAGTCCTCCCAGCCCCCACTTCCCTGTGCTCTTTTGAGATTGTCTTTAAAGAAAAACTGTATTTAGCAGGAAATGACATCCTCTCCAGGTAACATGTATTGAAAATAATCTTTCTGTTCATAGTAATAAAAATTAAATTGATTGTCAATTCATTGTGTGGCTGGGATTGTCAGAAAAAATACAGGACACCCAGTTAAATTTTAATTTCAAATACGTTTTTAGTATAAATATATCCCAAATATGACCTTGTTATTATTATTATTGCCTATACAGGACATTATATTAGCGAAATATGGTGACTCTGTGTGTGCCAATCATTATGATAAGTGAATTACACAGATAAATTTTTAAAATTGATTTGAGAGAAAAAACACACATCCATTTATTGTTCCACTTATGCATTCATTGGTTGATTATGCCCTGACCCAGGGATCAACTTGCAACTTTGGTGTATCCAGATGATGCTCTAACCAACT